GAAGAAATTAGAAAAAGAAGACATAAGTAGAAGTAGAAAAATAGAAATAATAAAGAGTAGAAGTCAATGAATAAGGGAAAAAATAAACAGCAAAACCAGTAACACCAAAAGTCAGTTCTTTGACAAGATCAATGAAACTAGTAAATCTCAACCCAGACTGATTTGGGAAGAGAGACAGAGAGGCAGAGACAGAGAAGATAGAAATTACCAATATTTATCCATATAAGATATGAATAATTATACCGTAACTAGAAATAAAACATCATTACAGATCCTATAGACATAAGAAGGATAAAAAGAAATAACAAACAACACAAAAACCCTATTTTTATTAAAGATATCAAATTTTTAGTTAAAAATTCTCCCAGAAATAAAACTCCAGGCCAAGATGACTTCCCTGCTGAATTCTGTAAAACATTTAACAGATGACACCAATTCTGCATAATACCTATCAGAAAAATAAAGCAGAGGAATCACTTCTCACTTCATCATGTGAGACCAGCATTATATTGATACCCAAACTAGACAAAGACATTCAAAAAAAAAAAAAAAAAAAGCTATAGATCTATTTCTTATGAACATAGTTGTAAAAATTACTAATAAAATTTTAGCACAAATCCCCAAATATATAAAACAAATAGCACATTATGACTGTATTAGTTTGTTTTCACACTGCTGATTAAGCATACCCAAGACTGGGAAGAAAAAGAGATCTAACTGGACTCATAGTTCCACATGGCTGAGGAGGCCTCAGAATCATGGTGGGAGGTGAAAGAAACTTCTTACATGGCAGTGGCAAGAGGAAAATGAGGAGGAAGTAAAAGCAGAAACCCTTGATAAACCCATCAGATTTCATGAGACTTAATTTACTATCATGAGAATAGCACGGGAAAGACCAGCCCCCATGATTCAATTACCTCTCCCTGGGTCCCTCCCACAACACGTGGGAATTCTGGGAGATACAATTCAAGTTGAGATTTGGGTGGGGACACAGCCAAACCGTATCCATGACCAAGTAGGAATTTTCCAGGGAATGAAAGGTTGTTTTAACATTTGAAAAAATCAATCAACAAAATTCACTGCATTAACAGACCAAAAATGGAAACCATATGGTGATCTTAATAGATCCATAAAAAGCTTTTGCCAAAATTCTACATTCATTTCTGATGAAAAGACTCTCAGCTAAGTAGAAATAGAAGGAAATTTCCTTAACCAGAGAGGAAAAAGGCATCTATGAAAAACTTATAGCTAACGTCATACTCAAAAAGTCCTGATGATTTCCCCCAAGATCAGGAAGAAGGCAAAATGTTTGCTCTCACCACTTGTATTAAGAGTTCTAGCCAGTACAATAAGACAAGGGAAAGAATTTAAACAAGAAAGGAAAAATTAAAACATGTATTTGCAGATGATATGATTGTCTGTATAGAAAATTCTGAGTAATTGGCCTGGCACGGTGGCTCACGCTTGTAATCCCAGCACTTTGGGAGGCCGAGATGGGCAGATCATGAGGTCAGGAGTTCGAGACCAGCCTGACCAAGATAGTGAAACCCTGTCTCTACTAAAAATACGAAAATTAGCCAGGCATGGTGTCACACACCTGTAATCCCAGCTACTTGGGAGGCTGAGGCAGAGGAATCACTTGAACCTGGGAGGCGGAGGTTGCAGTGAGCCAAGATCATGCCATTGCACTCCAGCCTGGGCAACAAGAGCAAAACTCCATCTTTAAAAAAAAAAAAAAAAAATTTAAAGAAAATTCTGAGTAATCTACAAGAAAAGCCACAAGAGGTAATAAATGAGATTGGGAAAATCTCAGTATTCAAAGCCAATACAAAAAGTCAACTGTATTTCTATACAACAGCAACAAAAAATTGGAAGGTAAAATTTAAAAAAATTTAATAGCATCAAAAAAATACAATGCCTAATAAATTTTATAAAATCAAAAGCTACAAGTCATCTGAGAGAAATTAAAGAAAGCCTAAATAAATGTAGATCTATGTTAGTAAGTGTGTTCATGGATCAGAAAATTTGTTATTAGTAGGATATCATTTCTTTCCAAGTTGGTCTTTAGATTCATTGCAATCCCAGCAAGTGGTTTTGTGGAAATAAACTAATTCAAAAATTTGCACTAAAGTGCAAAAGACCTAGAATTGTTAAAACAACTTTTAAAAAGAAGAAAAATATTGGAAAACTAACACTACCTGATTTCAAGATTATAAATCTACTGGTTTCAAAACAATGTTGAATTGATGTAGAGACAGACATGAAGATCAATGGAACAAAATAGTGCACAAAAATATACACCTACATATATGATCAATTAATTTTCAGCAAAGGCTCCAAGGCAGTTCAATGAGGACAAGATAATCACTTAAACAGTGTTGGGAGAAGGGGCTACCTATATGTCTGAAAAAACAAAAGTTAACCTCATATCTCTTCTCACATCACATGAAAAGATTACTGATGACAGATCTTAGAATTAAGCATAAGATACAGAACAATAGCATTTTTAGAAGAAAACTTAGGAAGAAATCTTAGTAATGTTCAGTTTGGCAAACATTTCTTAAATTTGACACATAAAAAAGAAAAAGCATGGGCTTCACCAAAGAAGATATGCAGATGGCAAATAAGCACATAAAAGGATGCCCCAAATTATTAGTCATTAGAGAAATACACATTAAAATTACAAGGAGATAGCACTATCCTCCTAGTAGAGTGGCTAAAATGAAAAAGACCAACCAGTCCAAGTGTTGATGAGGATGTAGAACAACTTTAACTCCAACAGCTGTTGGTCAGAATATAAATGGTTTATCACTTTGGAAAACAGTTTGACAGTATTTTTAGTCAGACATACACCTATCACACAGTCAGACCATTCTATACCTAGGTATTTCCTCTAGAGAAATAAAAGCATATGTCCACACAAAGACTCATATGTGAATGTTCATAGCAGCTATATGTAGAATAGCAAAAACTGGAAACAACCCAAATGTGTATCAAATGAATTTTAAAATTTTGCAATATCCATATAATGGAATACAACTTTGCAATAAAATATACTTTTACTATTTACATCACAGTCTATAAAAATGCATAAAAATTTCTAGTGACAGAAAACAGATCAGAAATTGCTTGTATGTATGGGGTAGAGGGGTGGAAGCAGGGAAAGAGAAGTTACAAATGATCATAATGGTAACTTTTGACTTATAGCCATCTTCATTGTTTTCCTTGTGGTGATGGTTTCATAGGTGTATACATGATGTCAAAAGTCATCAAATTGTACAATTTAAGTAAATGTTATTTATTTTATGTAGCTTATATCTCAGGAAAGCTATCTTTAAGATATCTCACATCTGAGAAAAAAAAAATTAATGGTTAGCAGCCTGACATCATTCTTACATTTGGTAGAGATTATCACCTGTATGCGTTTCTATTCACACTGAATTTTTGCCAATGTTCAATGTATTTAGATTTTCTTACTTATATCTGTCTCCTAGAAGCATCAAATCAATGTTTCTTGACCTAAATTTTCACAGGTGCACCTGTTGGAACTTATATTTGCAGCACTTTTTAATTTGACCTCCAGAATCTCATGAATATATTTGTTTACTATTTATACAGTGTACTATGTATTTATATATATATATATATATATATATTCAGATAAATATAAGCTCCACCTCAGCTCCAGAAACATCCAATTCTTAAGTGTTGAAAGTTTTTCCATGTGCCAGTTGATAGATCCCATCTTAAGCATATTTTCATTGTAGTATAACTCTGTACTCTGATGTGGCTTCTGAATTTAAAAAGAAAACAACAATAGAAAATCCACAATAGAAACAAAAAGACCTAATTTAGAAAACCAAGTTTAACTGGATTTAAGTATCTCAGAAAACATAAAATGGAGGACTCGTACATTGCAAAAAAAAAAAAAACCCTCATTCTACATAGTGTAGAATAACATTTTCAACCTCAAATTTGGCACATACAAGAAAGAGTGTTCTTGCAATAATTTTTATGAAATTCTCAAAAACTTACTTAAAATATCATATACTCTTGATTACTGAGGTAATGAAGAATGTGACAAAAATCCAACAATGATAGGACATCAAAGCTTAATGAGGTTTGAAATCATTAACCTAGAGTTCTCACTAAATAGAGAAATACACTGACAAAATTTTAAAATGTTCTGATAAAATTATCTCAACATTTCAGCACATTGCGATTAATTTGTAGCTAGAGAAAATATTTTCCCAACATTGTTACAACCATGGAAAACTAGATGCCCTTTAATAACAGACATCTTAGAATATGTATTGTTAAGGCTTGATGCTCTTTAAAAACTTCAACAGCTTTTACTACAGTAATTTGATTTTATTCTAAGTTGTTCTTCATTACCAGTTCATAGAGCAAAAAGCATAAGCCAAACTTCCAAAGGACTCATCACATTCTCAGTTGAAATCAAATTAAAAACTAAACACAGGAATGTGCTCTCAAGGTCATCTAAGTATATTTTTCTTTATAGTTGCACACCGTTTTCAGTACTTTATGACCATCTTCATTTTATTGAACTGAAGATTTTTACAAAGGAAGTCAGTCTTTCTATCCAGACATTGAAACGTAAAATGTGTAAGAAGATAAAGAACACTTAGGCTAAAACCAGGAAAGTAATGCTTGTCTCAGAAGGAATTGAATGAAAAGAAAATAAGAGATATGATTAATTATAATAAGGAGAAAGAGAACATCACATAACTTTAGATGTGTGACTAAGACTCAAGGAATTTAAAGTAGATGACAGATCTGCAGAAAAGACACTGGTTTTTCCACTAGAAACTATATTGACTCATAATGGGAAGGCAAAGAAAAGATGACTGCAGAGTAAACTTCACCCGTGTCAATAAGTTTACCGTAGGAAGGATATTTTAAGTAATTTTTTTCAATTATAAACTTACTTTTAAAATAGGTATTTTATGTGCCATCAATTTGAATGAAAGTAACATAAGTAATTTTTTACTGCTACAGTTTTTATTGTTCATTTTCCAACCTGTACTCCAACTCTTGGGGTTCACTTTAATTTGCCTTATTGACAAAGCTACTTCCAGCTGCCCACCCTTTTCTAAAGTATGTTCTTCCAAAACCACGTAGCTTCTGATTGCTAGCTTAGGTACAATCTGACTACAGTTCAGGAGGACGATTTTTTAATTGTATATGAAAGACACCTTCTATTTCAAGAGTGGGAGTCTGTCCATCATTAGTATTAGACAAATCTTTAGATCCATCATTGGTATTAGACAGAATTTTTTTTGAAACATCTTCAAATTTTGCTTCACCTTCCAAAACAACAGATCCTAAATTTATTGCTGGAATTCCTGCCGCCTGCGGTGACTGAAATTCAGTAGACACATTCTCTACCAGCACCTCATCTTCAGGGGTTTGTTCAGATGGTGGAGGTGCAACTTCAGCAGAGGCCTCTTGTATAGCAAACTCGTCAGTCAGAAGCAAATCAGCTGGTGGGGAATGTTTGTCAACAGGGGCCTCTTCCACAGGGACCTCATAAGCTGGGGGAGAGTGTACTGCAACAAGGGTCTCTTCTATAGGAGTCTCCTCAGCTGGTGGAGACTGAACATCAGCAGGGGCCTCCTCAGCTGGTGGAGGCTGAACATCAGCAGGGGCCTCCTCAGCTGGTGGAGGCTGAACATCAGCAGGGGCCTCCTCGGCTGGTGGAGACTGAACATCAGCAGGGGCCTCCTCGGCTGGTGGAGACTGAACATCAGCAGGGGCCTCCTCGGCTGGTGGAGGCTGAACATCAGCAGGGGCCTCGTCGGCTGGTGGAGGCTGAACATCAGCAGGGGCCTCGTCGGCTGGTGGAGGCTGAACATCAGCAGGGGCCTCCTCAGCTTGTGGAGACTGAACATCAGCAGGGGCCTCCTCAGCTTGTGGAGACTGAACATCAGCAGGGGACTCCTCAGCTGGTGGAGGCTGAACTTCAACAGGGGCCTCGTCAGCTGGTGGAGGCTGAACTTCAGCAGAGGACTCCTCAGCTGGTGGAGGCTGAACATCAGCAGGGGCCTCCTCAGCTGGTGGAGGCTGAACTTCAACAGGGGCCTCGTCAGCTGGTGGAGGCTGAACTTCAGCAGAGGACTCCTCAGCTGGTGGAGGCTGAACTTCAGCAGGGGCCTCCTCAGCTGGTGGAGGCTGAACTTCAGCAGGGGCCTCCTCGGCTGGTGGAGGCTGAACTTCAGCAGGGGCCTCCTCGGCTGGTGGAGACTGAACATCAGCAGGGGCCTCCTCAGCTGGTGGAGGCTGAACTTCAACAGGGGCCTCGTCAGCTGGTGGAGGCTGAACTTCAGCAGAGGACTCCTCAGCTGGTGGAGGCTGAACTTCAGCAGGGGCCTCCTCAGCTGGTGGAGGCTGAACTTCAGCAGGGGCCTCCTCGGCTGGTGGAGGCTGAACTTCAGCAGGGGCCTCCTCGGCTGGTGGAGGCTGAACTTCAGCAGGGGCCTCCTCGGCTGGTGGAGGCTGAACATCAGCAGGGGCCTCCTCGGCTGGTGGAGGCTGAACTTCAGCAGGGGCCTCGTCAGCTTGTGGAGGCTGAACTTCAGCAGGGGCCTCGTCAGCTGGTGGAGGCTGAACTTCAGCAGGGGCCTCCTCGGCTGGTGGAGGCTGAACTTCAGCAGGGGCCTCCTCGGCTGGTGGAGGCTGAACTTCAGCAGGGGCCTCCTCGGCTGGTGGAGGCTGAACTTCAGCAGGAGCCTCTTCTGCAGAAGCCTCTGTAGCTTCTAGAAGCTGAATTTCAGCAGAGGCCTCTTCTGCAGTGGTCTCTTCACCTGATGGAGGCTGAAGCTCAAGAGGGGCTTCTTCTATAGAAACTCCCTTAGCTGATGGAAATTGAACTTCAGTAGGCGCCTCTTCTGCAGAAGTCTCCTCAGATAGTGGAGATCGAGTTTCAGCAGGAGTTTCATATGCAGGAGCCTCTGTAGCTGCTAGAAGCTGAATTTCAGCAGAAGCCTCTTCTGCAGGGGTCTCTTCAGCTAATGGAGACTGAACTTCAGCAGGAGCCTCTTCTGCAGGGGTCTCCATAGCTGTTGAAAGCTGAAGTTCTCCAGCCTCTTCTCTCCGAGCCTCTTCAGGTAATAGAGGCTGAACTTCAGCAAGGGTCTCTTCAACAGTGGCAGGCTCTACTTTAGCTGGGGCCTCTTCAAGGGCGCCCTCAGCTGGTAAAGGCTGTACTTCAATGGGAGCCTTTTCAGCTGAGGGAGACTGAATTTCACCAGGAAGCTCTACTGAAGGAGACTTTTCAGCTGATGGAGGCAGAATTTCAGCAGGAGGCTCTTCTGAAGAGGACTCTTCGGCTGATGGAGGCAGAATTTCAGCAGGAAACTCCACTAATGGGGCCTCTTCAGCGGATGGAGGCTGAACTTTAACAGAATTCTCTGCAACTGCAGTGGCTGCCTCAGCAGCAGGAGTCTCTTCAGTTGATGGCTGTACTTGGACATGTGTCTCTTCATCGGATCTGGGCTCTGCCTTAGCAGTGGCCTCTTCAACTAATGGAGGCTGTATTTCAGCTGGGAATTTTTCTGTTGGTGGAGGCTCTATTTCAGCAGAAGCCACTTTTTTAACAGCAAAACCTTCTTGTACAACAGGTGTAGTTACTTCTTCCCTAAGCCCATCTTCTAAAAGTACCGGTGGACCATTTTTAGTCTCCTGAGTAAATGAAGTTCTGCTGATGCTTTTCTGCTTAATTTCTTCATTGCTGCTTGTTGCTGGTTGAAATTCAGGATGTTCACTAGCAGAAATCTTTCCTGAGGATTTACGTTTCCGGGCACCTTCCTTTGACTTTGTAAAAGAACTATCTGGCCTGGAAATAACCACTATTTCTGATTCACTAAAGTATGTCTGTTGTTCCTTGTCCACTTTTTCCACATGGGGGATGTGCATCATGGTCCAGTATTCTGTACGGCTGGTCTGCTGAGATCTGTCCATTTTTAGTTGAACTAAAGGTATGTTTGGTGGAATTTCTACTTCCTGAACACTCTCTGGCAATTCAATAGCTGCTTCTCTAACGTCAGCTGACTTTTCTTCAGGTACCACGGTTTTCTCAACTAACTTGACTTCTTTTTTCTCTTCTACAATGGTGTCTGTCTGGAGAGACTTACTAGTCATTTCCTGTCCACGCTTTCTCTTTGTCCAAGTTCGCTGAAGTTCAGAAGATACTCTAATAGACTCATAGGCTTTGGCAGAGTAGTTGCCTTTGCTTTCAGAAGTATTACCAATACGATGGGTAGCTTTGGGGCTAGATGATTTTGGTATGGGCATGTGTTTCTTTTTCTCTATTACATCAGTTTGCTGGGATTTGTCTACCATTGGTTGGCTGGGTCGTCTTCTCTTTCGAATTTCTTGCCTACATGCTGAGATAGGCTTATCAGAGTCATCACTTTCTTCCATTTCTAAGACTAGTGATTTCAGATTTATTAATTTTCAAGTGATGGCCAAAAATCACAAACGTACCAAGTGTCGAAGACTTTGCCTTTCTTAGGTGTCATTCTGTTGAGCTCCCTCAGAAAAAAAGTAATTTATAAGTTATTACATTCCATACTACACTCTTGTTGGATCCCACCTTATTCAGTAAGCATCTTTCTTGTTTAGTCTCTGTTATAACTAAATATCACTTTTAGAAGTTTCCTTCAAGGGTCTATGACATCATAGCCAATTCTGCCTTCAGGATTCCGTCAGTGGTATTCCTAGGGCTTTTAAACTTAGTATACATCCATAGGTAATGGCTGCAAGTGAGAATCTACTTTTTGAAACAAGTCCAGTTGAAAAAAGCATTTGTCTACGAAAGAACATCAGGTAAATTCCAGTAGTGCCACTTTCTAATTACTGAAATTGATGCTTTCGAACTTTCAGTTCTGTTTTTTTCATCCTATTATCAAAGACAGTAATGCAGAACTCAGAATACTGCAGCCTATTTTCAATTGTACAAAACAACCCATAACATGTGTGAGGATGTTCTATTAACATATTTTATATGACTTGAAAAGAAGTTACTACTGTTTGAAAAACTTGAATTCTGAAGTTCATCTTCATATAAGCTTCTTTTCTACATCCTTAGCCTTCAGTAATACAACAGCCTATTCTCAAAATATAGAAGGCAGGTTTATCTTCCAAAACATCGTGTGATATTTTAATTTTTATTTAACTATTTTAGAGTGTAGTTCCACCCAAAATTGCCAACTAAAAGAATGAGTCTAAATACACGCCAAGGGAGAAAAAAATGCACCTTTTGAAGTAGTCACATTAGACTCTGCTGAGTACCTACATGGGAATGAATGCCCCAATGTAGATAAAAACTTTATTTTTATTTTTATTTTTTTTGTTTTTTGAGATAGGATCTCACTCTGTCACCCAGGCTGGAGTGCAGTGGTGCAATCATACCTCACTGCAGCCTCAATCTTCTGGGCTTAAGCAATACTCCTACCCCAGCCCCTCCCCCCCAGTAGCTGAGATTACAGGCATGAGCCACTGCACCAGCTGAAGATAAAAACATTAAAAAATGACGCTATGAAAAGGAGGAACTCCAGTCAAGCAAATTGTAGATGACATTGTATTAGATTTGGAATACAGATAAAATTTTAACTGATATCACTCAAGAATTTTACTAGAAAGATGAATATTGATCAAACAGTATGCAAAAACATTGTGCATTAGTCTGAGGAAAATTAAGAAGAGAAAATAGACTTTTAAAATACAGTTATAGGAGACAATGTAATAATCATATGCCAAATAATAATTATGACTGCATTAATCTGGGAATATTTTTAATTTTATTTATGCCATATTGCCCCTAGAAAACATGGTGAATTGAATAATTCCCTTTTTTTCACATGCATTGGTGTTATGAGCTGAATGTTTGTGGCCCTGTCTCTTTACCCACAAATTCATATGTTGGAACCCCAAAAGTTACAGTATTTAAAGATGGGATCTTTGGGAGTTACAGGCATACCTCATTTTATTACACTTCACTTTTTTGTGTTTTACAGATCCTGCACTTTTTACAAATTGAAAGTCTATGGCAAGCCTGCATCAAGAAAATCCATTGATGTCATTTTTTCAAACAGTATGTGCTCATTTCATTTCTTTGTGTCACATTTTGGTAATTCCTGCAACATTTCAAACATTTTCATTATTATAATATCTGCTGTGGTGATCTATAATCAGTGATCTTGATGTTACTACTGTAAATATTTGCAGCACCATACCCTATATATAACAAATTTAATAGATAAACATTGTATGTGTTCTGACTAATCCACCAGCCAGCTGTTCCCCCGTCTCTCTCTCTCTCTCTCTCTGTCCTCAGGCCTTTCTATTGCTTGAGACACAACGATATTGAAATTAGGAAAATTGATAGCCCTACAATGGCCTCTAAGTGTTCAAGTGAAAAGAAGAGTCACAGACCTCTCATTTGAAATTCATATTGTTTTCATGCCTGCTAACACAACATCCATTCCGTAGCCGATGGATCAAGGAGTAATTTTGATTTTCAATTTTATTATTTAAATATATTTCATAATGCTATGGCTGCCATAGATAGTGATTCCATTAATGGATGTGAAATTGAAAGTAAATTTAAACCCTCTGGAAAGGATTTACCATTTTAGATGCCATTAAGAATCTTTATAAAGAATGGTAATAGGTCTAAATATCAACATTAACAGGAGTCTGGAAGAAGTTGATTCCAGCCCTCATAGATGACTTTGAGGGGTTCAAGATTTCAGTGGAGAAAGTAACTGCAGATGTGGTGGAAATAGCAAGAAAATGTAAATTATATGTAGAGCCTGAAGACATGACTGAATTGCTGCAATCTAATGGTAAAACTTTAATGGACAAAGGGCTGCTTCTTATGGATGAGCAAAGAAAGTCGTTTCTTGAGATGGAATCTACTCCTAGTGAGGTGCTGTGAACACTGTTGCAAAAACAACAAAGGATTTAGAATATTCCATAAACTTCACTGATAAAGCAATGGTAGGGTTTGAGAGGATTGACTCCGATTTTGAAAAAAAGTTTTGATGCTGTAAAATAGTACTGCATGCTACAGAGAAACATTTCATAAAAGGGTCAATTGATGGGGTAATCTCTATTGGGTTGTTTATCAACATCTTTGTGGTTGCAAAGAGAGAGCCTGGTGTTTGTCTCAATTACATCTGACAAACATTGCAGGTGTGTTTTGTAGTCAAGTTTCTGAAATTTCATGTAATATCTTCAAAGTCTATTTTGGGTCAATTCACAACAAGAAATAAATGTCAAAGCCAACATCGCACTAATTGGGTTAATATAAGATTATGTGTATTGGATTAGTTTTGCTTCTTTAACTTAAATAAGGCTTTTCCAAATTTCCTTAAACTGAATTATCGATTTCAACTAAATTGAATTATCAATTTCCAGTCCTTAGATCTTTATGTTTTCCTCTCTTGTCTGTCTTTTTCATACAAGCCATTTTGACAGCGGGGAGATGACATCTCATTGTGGTTTTGATTTGCATTTCTCTGATTAGTGATGTTGAGTATTTTTTCATATCACTGTTGACCATTTGTATGCCATCTTTTAAGAAATGTCTATTCAGATATTTTGCCTATTTTTGTATAAATTTATGTCTACAAGTATAATTTTGTTACATAGACATATTACATGTGGTGGAGTCAGAGATTTTAGTGTGACTATTACCTGAATAATATAAATTGTACTCATTAGGTAATTTCTTATCATCCCCCACTTCCATCTCTCACACTTCTGAGTCTCCATTGTTGTATCAGTTGACACTCTGCATCCATGTGGATGCTTTATTTAGCTCCCACTTATAAGTGAGAAGATGCATTGCCTTTCTGTTTCTGAGTTGTTTCTCTTAAAATAATGGCCTCCAGATCCATTCATGTTGCAGCAAAAGACATGATTTTATTTTATTTTATTTTTCTACCAGATTAAGCTTTATTTATTTTTTATTTTTAATTATACTTTAAGTTCTAGGGTACATGTGCACAACATGCAAGTTTGTTACATAGGCATACATGTGCCATGTTGGTTTGCTGCACCCATTAACTCATCATTTACATTAGGTATTTCTCCTAATGTTATCCCTCCCCCTTTTCCACACCCCATGACAGGCCCTGGGGTGGGATGTTCCCCGCACTGTGTCCAAGTGTTCTCATTGTTCAATGCCCACCTATGAGTGAGAACATGCGGTGTTTGCTTTTCTGTCCTTGTAATAGTTTGCTCAAAATGATGATTTCCAGCTTCATCCATATCCCTGAAAGGACATGAACTCATCCTTTTTTATGACTGCATAGTATTCTGTGGTGTATATGTGCCATATTTTCTTAATCCAGTCTATCACTGATGGACATTTGGGTTGGTTCCAAGTCTTTGCTATTGTGAATAGTGCCAAAATAAACATATGTGTGCATGTGTCTTTATAGTAGCATGATTTATGATCCTTTGGGTATCTACCCAGTAGTGGGATTGCTGGGTCAAATGGTATTTCTAGTTCTAGATCCTTGAGGAATTGCCACACTGTCTTCCACAATGGTTGAACTAGTTTACACTACCAACAATGTAAAAGCATTGCTATTTCTCCATATGCTGTCCAGCATCTGTTGTTTCCTGACTTTTTAATGATCACCATTCTAACTGGTGTGAGATGGTATCTCACTGTGGTTTTGATTTGCATTTCTCTGATGACCAGTGATGATGAGCATTTTTTTCATGTGTCTGTTGGCTGCATAAATGCCTTCTATTGAGAAGTGTCTGTTCATATCCTTTGCCCACTATTTGATGGGGTTGTTTTCTTCTCGTAAATTTGTTTTAAGTTCTTTGTAGATTCTGGATATTAGACCTTTGTCAGATGAGTAGACTGAAAAAATTTTCTCCCATTCTGTAGGTGCCTGTTCACTCAGATGGTAGTTTCCTTTGCTGCAGAAGCTCATTGTTTAGTTAGATCCCCTTTGTCTATTTTGACTTTTGTTGCCATTGCTTTTGGTGCTTTAGTCATGAAGTCCTTGCCCATGCCTCTGTCGTGAATGGTATTGCCTAGGTTTTCTTCTAGGGTTTTTATGGTTTTAGCTCTAACATTTAAGTGTTTAATCCATCTTGAATTAATTTTTATATAAGATGTAAGGAAGGGATCCAGTTTCTGTTTTCTACATATGGCTAGCCAGTTTTCCCAGCACCATTTATTAAATAGGAAATCCTTTCCCCATTTCTTGTTTCTCTCAGGTTTGTCAAAGATCAGATGGTTGTAGATGTGTGGTGTTATTTCTGAGGCCTCTATTCTGTTGCATTGGTATATATATATATATGTTTTGGTACCAGTACCTTGCTGTTTGGGTTACTGTAACCTTATAGTATAGTTTGAAGTCAGGTAGCATGATGCCTCCAGCTTAGTTCTTTTTGCTCAGGATTGCCATGGCAATTCGGGCTCTTTTTTGGTTCCATATGAACTTTAAAGTAGTTTTTTCCAATTCTATGAAGAAAGTCATTGGTAGCTTGATGGGGATGGCATTGAATCTATAAATTACCTTGGGCAGTATGGGCATTTTCACAATATTGATTCTTCCTATCCATGAGCATGGAATGTTCTTCCATTTGTTTGTGTCCTCTTTTATTTCGTTGAGCAGT